TGCCTGAACCCAGGAGGCGGAGGTTGCGGTGAGCCAAGATCGCGCCATTGCACTCCAGCCTGGGTAACAAGAGCGAAACTCCGTCTCAAAAAAAAAAAAAAAAAATTTACTGTCTACTATGTGCAGGCCTGATGGTGAAAGGATGATTAATACATGGTACATGCCCTCACATTCTAGTTAAAATGAGTCATATAAAGTCGATAAAATATACCATAAAAAGCACCACTTTCATATTGTGAAGAAAGTACTATAGCAATTCATTCTGCCCAATGAGGGAAAGAGTAGATTGGGATACAGGGGAAAAGGATTCTGAGCTAGGATTTGGAGACTAAGGAGCTGAAAACACGGACAGCAATAAAAGAATATTCCAAGGGAAAAGATAAATCTTTAAGCACAGAAATGTGTAAGCAAACAGTATATTAGGAATGATTGTTAATGCAATGTGCTACATTGAAGACTAAGGAAATAACAGCAGAAAAGTAGATTGGAAATATGTGAAGGGGCCTGACTTTATCCTGAGAGCCAGTGATTTGCAAACTATTTTGACTGTCCACCCCAGAAGTAGCAAATTTTTGTGCATGCATGTATCCTCAATAAATGCACATTTATTTAAGTACAACTTAAATTATGCCAAGAGCTACTCTTCTAGTATATCACATTATTAGAAAATACACATAGAGAGCCAGGCACAGTGGCTCACATCTGTGATCCCAGCACTTTGGGAGGCTGGGGCAGATGGATCACGAGGTCAGGAGTTCAGGACCAGCCTGGCCAAGATGGCGAAACCCCATCTCTACTAAAAATACAAAAATTAGCCAAGCACAGTGGCAGGTGCCTGTGATCCCAGCTACTTGAGAGGCTAAGACAGAAGAATCTCTTGAACCCGGGAGGCAAAGATTGCAGTGAGTCAAGATCACGCCATTGCACTCCAGCCTAGTGACAGAGCAAGACTCCTTCTCAAAAAAAAAAAAAAAAGAAAGAAAATACACAAAGAGAAATATGTAAAAGATAAAAATTAAATAGGTAATATTTTTCTCTAAAGGAATCTTTTTCATTAATTTTTATTAATAAATAATGTGTACCAATGTTATTAATCAACTGCTAATGTATCTTCCATAATCAATAAATGAGTGCACTATGCTTCTGCTGACATTCCAGTTCTAACTTGCATTTTTCTTGCTCTCTTGGTAGTAACAAATCATCAAGAGTATTCATAAAGTCTAGCATAGTGTACTTGTACTTACTTTTTTGGTGCTAAGATGAGCTGTTAGGGAATTTGAAAGATCTTTATTATAGTCAATTTAAATATATCCATCTAAAGCTTATCTTGTACATATAAAAGGTATAAGTGCATAAAAAGACAACTTTCTTACATGATAAAAAAAAAACACTCAACAACTAGGAATAGAAGAGAACTTCCTCAACCTGATAAACAGCATCTATGAAAAATCCCCTAGCTACCATACTTGGTGACAGGAAGCTTTCCTCCTAAGAGCAGGAACAAGAGAGGATGTCTGCCCTCAACACTTCTTTCTAGCCAAGGAATCTAGATTGGACAGGAAGAAGTAAAACTATTTGTATATGACAGGATCTAGTATATAGTAAATCCTGAGAAATCT